AAATTAATGTAAGCCAAGATTAGAGAAAGTCATGCTTCTACTTCCTTTCTGAAGAAATTTTGAAAAAAGAACAGCTTTTAATATATGTTAGGAAATGCAGAGAAATTAGCTGTGGTTTTCTAGAACTTAGAGGATATTCTGGAAGGAGGAGGGGCCTACTGAAGCAGGACGATGAGGCTCTTTCTTTTGCTGAGCTTGGAAAGAACTGATGCCTGGGTTTTTAAATTCTATAGTCTTGATGTGCAGAAACTTGTCAGCTGATGGATAACACTATTATTTGATGGTAATGTCAGTGGTCTAAAGAGAAAAGGTAATGAAAAATGATGCCATTGTTATTTTTGCAAACAATTTGATTATTCATGAGATTATGTTTAACTCTGCTGTTGGAATGTAATGTTCCAAATACTATTACTGTGTGCGGCTTGGGCAAAGCTCTAGACACTGCTAGTAATCAATATGGAGAAAGTATTTTAAAAATCCGTCTATCATTTCTTCCCCTGGCTCATGGAAGTTTATGGCCTCTCAATTAAACCATGACCTCACAGACAAATTCAGGCAAATGCATTTGGCACAATGGAGAAGATAGAAATGTATGAAAAGGGAGTAGGAGTGAGCAACTGCGGCAGATGGAGGGAGGTAGAATTTCCTGAAACAGATCAGTTGCAGAAGGATTTTTTTTTTTTCCATAGGTAGCAGAGCCACTTCCAAAAGGCCCTGCCTACCTCTCACACAAGTCCCACATGCAGTTTCCCAGCTGTTTGCGATGTCTTTTCCACCAGAGGTTTCCAGCCCTGTTGTGCCATGTGATGACTAATTTGAGCACCTTCTCTGTCACAAAGGGAGGTGGCTGTGCCTGGGCAGGTTAGGGTTCCATTTTTTTTATAATTAAGAGCTGAAGTTACTATTGCTTGTGAACATAATAATGGGTAATCCAGTTACTCTTTAACAATCTAATCTTATTAAGGTCTGAAACACAAGACAGTATCTACGAACATATGAACATGAGTCAGTCCTGCTCGCAGGAAATTTATGCCTTTTACCCTAAACTGCATTTGTGTCTTGAAAGAAAACTGTGTGATTTTAAATTGGTATTATTTTAATACTTAAGTATCAAATTCTACCACTTTTATTGTGAGAAGGTATCCCACTGGATCTTGTCCAAACAAATTTCCACTCAATTTTTACTGGAAAGAACCAAACCTTATTCTAACTAATGTACTGTAAATGCTCCCATAACTTGGATGTGTAGCTGTTTAGCAAAGGCTTATGTTGAGGTATCAATATATAATGTATGCAGGAAAATGATCTCTCCTTTGGCATCCTGATATCTCCATCACCAGTATGTGCCTGTCAGGGGTGTGTTGCTTTTAGGTAATGATTACACTTCCAAATTCAGTAACTGCTATTTGTAGGCTGTCTGCCTGTCGCAGGCTCTACCTGCAACTAACCTGAAAGACAATGAGGATGATATACCTTGTATAATATGTACCTGTTGACTTTCGGGGTGACATAGTCAGCAGGATCATACTTTTATATGCTGTGACAGCTGTTAAATTGTCCTAATCCATACTAGGATTTCCCCTTCCTCATGGCCTGTCATGCCCTGTCTTTCACCTGGAACAGGATGTCTTCTCTCCTGTTAAATATTCACCAGTATCTTTTCAGCTGACCAGAAGATCTCACTACCATCACGTTGCTAAAATAAACAGTGATAGCGAAGGAGAGGAGGTGATATAAACAATCTGAGTTTAAGGTTTTTCACCAAAATAAAAAGAGAAAATTAAAATATCAAAAAGTGGTAAATGGGGACCATTTTGGGGGGGGCAGAAAAGGGATCAGGAAGGTCAAAATGGTTCAAAAAATGAGTGATTTCATCTATCCTCTGCATCTTCAGACATTTTTCATGAGAAAATTACAAAGAATTTGGCTCTTTATAGTTTTTTCCAAGAAGAGCCTGGGGAAGTTTTACAGTTTCCCATCTAAGTGATCCTTTAATGCATACAGAGGTAGTAACGATAGGTGACATAAAAATAATACAAAGGCTATTCTTTGTATTCAAGTCTCTCTTGAAATACGTATTTTTATTAGCAGGTTATTTTGAGACAGTGTCTGGAAACTTATGAGCTCCTAAAAACCTTGCAGTACAACTTGTAATTTTTTTGTCAAATGTTACAATTTTGTATTTAAATAAAATAATTTTTAAAAAATAATATAACAGGCCTAAGATGCAGACATCTTAGGTTAGGTTAGGTTAGACTAGCTTTGCTTTGCTTTTCGGTAGTTAAGTTGAAAAGCAAAGAATTCTAAAGATGTACATTGAGATTTCTTCTGTGTGGATTTCTGACATCTGGAAATGGGTGTCTTGGCCACAGGAAATTTATTCCTCTGCTTGATATTAATGAGTAGCTTCAAATAACTGGGCAAAACAGATGTATTGCTGGTAGAGAAATTTTACAGTGTTAAATTAGGGCAATTTCCATGGACCGCATTTATGAAGTTTGCATGTGGGACTGGCAATACTGATGAAATTAGAATTGCTTAGGAAATGCTGTACCTGGTTCCTTGACCTTGAGTTCAAATTTGACCTTGGAACTTCCCGCTATTACAGCGTATGTCACATCATCTTCTTTTCCTACATTATTGATTGTCAGGGAATGCTTGTTTCCTTCTGCCTTGATGACATATTTCTCACTTTCAGTAATTTCTGTGCCAGCTCGCAGCCACTTCACCTTGATGCCGGCTTTTTCTGTCTCTGCTTCAAACACAGCTGTGCTTCCGGCTGTCAGCTCTGTTGTCTTCGGCTTCTTGGTAAATGCAGAAACTAAAAAAAGAGAGAGGGCTCACTAAAATCTGTTTTGCAATTGTGGCATATCTGGTGTAGTCAGCTGTTGTGGCTGCAACAGCTGTCTCCTTTCTCTCCCATCTGTCCATGTAAGATATAAATTACAACACTTTCCACAGAGAAGTTGTGGAATTGTCTCTGTGTTTACTGAGTTCTGTCTCTGACTGAGATGTCATAGCTTCTCCATATTGTCATGAAACAAAATGGAATGGATAGCAAACTCATCTCACTGACCATTTTCCTCTTTCTTTTCCCCCCCATAATGAGCTCTGATTTTTCATAAGTGAATGTTTTGACCTATGACAAGATGGTATGACACGTTCTTACATATCAATCTCTCTATATTGCTTTACCATGTAGTTTTATTCAGAAATATTAATTCTGTCCTAACAGTTGCTTAATGCAGTTGTTAAACAGGATCAGGATATATTCCTCCAACAAAACTGCGGTTTGTGCAGTAACCTGTGTCCTATATATATCACAATGAATTAATGGTTCATCTTTAGTCCTTCTGTTTTGACTGATCAAGGCTTTAATGGAAAGGGATTCATGTTCCTATGATGGCTCTTGTAATTTTATACCAGCTAAAATAATAACAATTGTTGTTCGCATTCAATGTTTAGTTCAGCATTAAAAGTTAAAGTACTTGCCTATGTAGGGATCTACAAGTTTTCTAATTAACTACAAGGTGGATCAAAATATTTCCTCTATGTGTCAGAAGTACTTACCATGCTTATAATGAGAATTAATTAAATTATTATTATATGGGGTGAAAAAGCATAAACCAAATGATCTGTTTTGGTTCTTGTGTAATCAAACTAGAAAAACAGATTATAGGAATTTGGAAAGCAGGCAATGTATCATGATTTTGGTCCATAAGTATCCTAATCTTTCTCAAGATTAGATTTTAATAAGGTAAGTTATTTTACTAATTTCTTTACTCTGATTTATTTTTTTAGATTTCTTCAACTTTATTTTCAGTCAAGTTTTTCATTTTATGCTCATGTTTTGGCCTTAATGAAATCTGTTATCTTTTTGCTAATTGCCATGAGCTATGTTCATGTATAAAAATACCAGTAATTAACATTCTGATTCATACACTGAATGATTTTATGCATCATTATGTCACCTTTTCACCTGGCTTACCCCTTCATAACCACACTTTTATAAAATATTAGTAATTCTGTCACATTTAATTATATCTGTCACCTCTGTGGCAAATTGTCTATGGCTCTTCTACTTGGGCAGCAGCAAGAACTCTTCCAAACACAATTGTTATAGTTAGCTTTAGTCATTTGATTCTGCTTTATAAAAATGAAGAGAACATGGCATAGAAATATTTTAAAAGAGATAGTTTATACTCATGTTCAAAGATGTGCTTTAGTTAGTATAAATTGTATATTACTAATAATACCATCTGTTCATTGCACAAAATCTCTGTTCCTGTAGCATGTCCTCAGACTGTATAAATTGACCTCAGTGGAGTTACATCTGCAAAGATTTCATCTGATGGCCTTTTGGACTTTAGCCATAATATAGTTCATGTTTCTTGCATTGTTTTGCAAAGGATTCGAAACTGCTTAAATATCAATTAAAGCACCAATTACAAATACTTTTAGAATTCAGCATGCATTGTATTTTGCCTCTCTTTATCATGTAAAAAACCTAAATTACCACCTTCTCTTTCTTTTTTCCCCACTTTCATATATTTGATGAAGAAACTACTTTGTTTTACACTGAGCCTGTAGTAGCCTTGACTGCGCTCCTGTTGTGTTCCTCTGCATGCTTCTCTTCCATGTTAAAATATAAGTGTGTGAAATTTCCTCTGGGAGTGAATTGTCCCTGCATGCTTTTTTTTGAGGTTTTTTCCTAACCTCAGGCCCATAAGTGGTGTAATGGTTCTTAAACAGAATACAGTACTGTGTAGAATACAGGGCTCTCTACTCGAGTCTGTACACAATACCCAAACGCCTGTTATCAGTTGCGCATCTTTTGATACAGTATTGCATTTCAGTAAATAACACAGCAGGCTATACTTTGATGGAGTATATTGTGAGTAATTGCAGAAGAGTTACTGTGGACAGCGAGTTTGATGTACAGACTTCAAAAGACATGTAAAGGTGGCCAGGCTGCTGTGCAGTGGGGAGCCAGGTCAGTTCTGGAACCCACTCCTGAAACACCTACTAGCTGGCTCCTCTTCCTATGACACTAGAGACGAAGCAGCGGAGAGGCATGTTTTTTGTCTCCAAGTGCTATCATAATCACTCTTCTATTTAAGCACAAAAGAATCTATAAATATATTAATTACTTAGCAGCAATGTGGCCTGTAAAGGTTCCAGCCTACAAATGACAGGGTTTCAAGACAGGCATACTTGGAAGTAACTCTCTGATCTGCTGTACACCCTGCAAAGTGGTTAGGTTTCTTACATTTACTTTTGATGACTCAACAAAAACTGACTGTTGGCCAAAACTACATGCACAGTGAGAAATCTCCACCACCACACAGTATTTCTGATTCTTGGGAAATCTAAATACATCTGTAGAAGTTTACAAGTAAGTCTCCTTGTCTTTTTTTCTCTCTTTCCTTTTCCTGCCAAAAGACTCATTTTGGTTCTGGCTTAAAATGATTGTGAATACTTCCACTAAAGCGTAAAATTGGAAAAGCCCCAAATCCCCCATGTGAATAAAGGCCTGCAAGAACAGTCATTGAGAACCTACTTTTTCACAGGTAAAGGAGACTCTAAGAGTCATTTTCCTGCACTTGAGATTGAGAGTCAGTGGGTGGTGGTGCCCAAAGCAGTGTCGCTCTGTATCAATCTGTATTCCCTTTCATCTTCCACTGCTCACTTTTGCAAAGGCAAATTAACCATGTACAGCATTTTTCCTTCTGTGGGAAAAATGGGAGCTTAACAGAGAAGTGAGAGACCAGCTATTCCTGGTCTCCCTCTTTGTGGCTGCTACTATAACTAACAGAAATCCAAGTTCAGAGGCAGATTTTTTTTCTCATGCAGTTATACGAATCTAATCTAGCTGTTTCCTCATTAGGAACATTCCTGAACACCACCGTTCAAAAATTCTTGTCTGTCCTGAGAACCTCACTTTTTCCTGCTTTTTATCAGAAACACATTCCCCATTTGGCAATCTCTCTCACTTCAACATTTGGCTTCTACCCAGATACACCTCTCTGAGTTCCATGTATCCATCCCGTACCCAGAACACTCTTGGGTACCACCACCACCATCAGGCTGTGGAAAACCCAGCGCCTGTGACACCTCTCATGTGATGTTGTGGAATGTCTGACCGCTCTTGTGCCTGTCAGGCCCTGACAGATCTCAAGCACTGCCACATGTTTATCCAGACTCCAGCTGAACAGGCACTGAGGAGCCATTGGGCTGGGGCACCTGATGACCAAAGTAGCCCATGTCCTCTGCCACCCACTTTGTTAACTCTCTGCTTCCCTGTAAATTCTAACCCACCATGCACAAAGGGAGAGAAAGGTGACATTAGTACTAACATACCACAGAAATTCTGGGGAGAGGGTGGAGACGCACGTGAATGACCAGTGCTGATGATGACAGAATTACTGAACTGAAGGAGAGTGATAGGTGCTCTGTGTGTGTGTGTTTTGTGAGGGTGGAATTGGAATTGCTGTGGGGAGTTAACATGGGGAGGAAAGAGGGACGTGGAGCAAATGAAAGAAAATGAGGCTAGAGCCACTTTGTACTAACCCATTTTTCAGCACTTCACTTCTCATATCACAGACTTTCCTAATCAGTTCTAGCTCCCATAATGCAAAGAACTTCACATAACTTCTGAGTAATGGAAAACAGCAAATTTCTGCAGAAGAGGAAGCAGACTGCGTGTGGTCTGCAATACTCTTGCAGAAAACTTTTCGGTGGTTAATGCTGCTGCTGCTACCAGAACTTGCATGCAGCACCCATCTTTTAAAAGTCTTGTAGCACCTGAAGATGTACACATCAGCCATATAGTTAAGTATGTTACACAAGTTACAGATTCATTAATTTGTAATAAAAAGCTCTATTTGGAGGTCCATGATCAGATTGCATTTTGATAATAATTTATTAAAAAGTATTTCAATCAAGAGGCTGAAGAAATATAGAATACATATGCTTTTGGCCAAATTAAACTCAGATTAAATAATTTCAGTTCCAGAACCAATTTCCTTCACTTTTCACCTAAATAAAATAATAAAGCTAGTGTTCTGCCTTCCTACTGCTGCCATTTATCAAATCTTCATACTAGCACCTTCATGCTTTCTCTCTTACTTTCTGACCTGCTTGGAAGCAATCTCCTTCTAACATCTGCCATCAACCTAGTTTACTACTCTGCTCCAAAACTGTTTCATATTCTCTGATGCAAAAACCTAGAAAATGACTAAGCTACTACCCAGGTTGCTATTGGTTGTACAAACCATTGTTTCCTTTGCGCTCTTGTTGAACTATGCATCTACTTGCTGGGCTTTTATTTTGTAAGTGTTTTGAAGCAGAGACTGTTTTTCTGTTGTCTTTCTACAATACCAAATTGTTAGTAAGTGGCAACTAAGTACTGTTGTATCCCTAATAAGAATAAAAGCTAGTATTAGAAGCTAGAAGAGACATTCCTGTTTGACTATTGTCATAAAAAATTGAGATGAGATGTATATTAAGATAATGTTTAAATATCTGGAATAATTTTAATTCCTAGCCACATTAAATAATTTGGCTTGTTAAGAATCACAAGCATTAGATGAAAACCTCCCCCTAAAACCACTGAATTTCCAAGTATGTGTGAAGTATATGAAATGGATTCCACGAAAGTGATTTTAACTACATAGAGGGATAGAGGAGAGCCATTCCCTTGTTGGTTTTTTTTTTGTTTGGTTGGTTGTTTTGGGGGGATTTTTTGTTTGGTTGGTTGGTTTGGTTTGGTTTTGGGGTTTTTTTTAAATTTCATCCTGCTTTTCAGAGTGGTGGTTCTGACTTCAGCTCTTCATCATTCATTATTTGTGGTATGTACATGGAGGAGAGGGAGATAAGCACTTAAGGAGAAGGTGTGTTAGATAAGGCTTTCAAATTATGTTTCTGCTTTTTTGAAATAAAAACTGTTAAAGGTATAAATGTTTCAGGAGACTCTAATGTATCTGGTTGAATGCACATGCTACAAACTCCAGCAGGTATCTGTGACAAGTGTAATTAGAAAAAATAGTCACAGGTTTTCTCCCTGCATGTGCAGTTATCTTACTGCACAGTCTGTGTATTTGGTATTAAAATATCTATCTAGCCAATTTATTGAATTAATATTACAAAAGCAATATTAGCTTTTGCAACTCCTTAATTTGTTAAGGATTTATGTTGAAAACTTATCTTCACTTTAGTACTTACACTTGGCATCTAGTTTTCCTTTTATACCATTTGCTGTTCCATTGAGTTAAAGCAGACTTTAGTAATGGAGCTTATGAATTCCTTGCTGAGGAACTATATAAAGATGCTGCACATTCCTCAGTCAGGACCTAAGCGGCTTCTTGCAATTACAAGCTTTATCATTCCATGATCCACAAGCTATTGAACTACTCAATCTTATCATTCCTTGCCTACTTCAGCAGCTGAGATTGTAAATTCCTGTAACATGAGGAACAGACGAGGAATGGTTTCACTAAGCAGAGTCACCACTCACTCTGTGCATCCATCATATTTTCTGTAAAATGAGGATAATAATGTTCAGCTTGCTTTGACTCTTAACTTGCAAAACAGGAAAATATCACTATACGAATTATTATTATTTATTTTTGTATTACTGTAGTGCAGAGAAGTTCATTATCATGCAGCAGTACTTTTATATTAAAACTAGAATCCTACAGTCTACTCTTCATTATGTAACACTGGTTATTATTATTAATGCCAAAAGCCTCTGTGTACTTACAAGCCAGGTTATTTATAAAAGCCTTGATAAAATTTCCTAATCTGAACTGCAAAATCTGGACGACTCAATCTATAAAATACCTGAATAAAATTTGACTGATTTTCACAGAAAGTAACACCAGACTTCTCATTTTCCAGATATAGTAATGCACTAATATTTCCCATTAAGTCCCATTTATCTACTAAATTTGGTGTTTAAAAGGCCACCTGTTTCCTCTTAGTGTCACAAAATATTGTTAGGGAAATGGTTGCGGGTTTTTTAACCTTTCTGAATTTTCATGACAAAAAAAAGCCATCAAAACTTTCCAAAAAGCGAGCCCTTGAGCAGAGATTAACTATGAAATGTTTCTGCAGCAGAACCCTGCAAAAAGTGATGCTTGCCAGTGTTTGATTTTTTGCTCTGACATTAAATTGCTACAGGACTTCTTTGTTGCTGTTGAGGAGTGTACAGATTTTCTGGAAAGCTACAACAGTTCTCTTGGTATTCTGTAAATAAATAGGGCAGTGCCTTATCCTGAAGTATTGTAGTTGGACTGAATGTCTGTTGGAAAATCTACTTCTTTGTAATAGGTTTTGTGGTTTGTTTTTTTTAACATTTTTTTTTAGCATGTTAAGAGGTTTCTTAAAACAGCAGATGGAGGCAGAATATCTTTCATCATTCTCTGGCATGAAGTGTTTTACACTAGATGCCGAAATTTCGGTAATATAGACTAAAGATCTTTTAGGGTTCTTCAGTATTTTGACTGTATGGTATGTGAAAGGCAGGAATCATGATTTATCCAAGTATGAATTGCTAGATAGTTATTCAGCCCTCCTGAGATTACGCTCAACATTATCCCATCTTGAAATGGCTTGAACTATATAAACAACATGAAACAGAAAACCAAAGGGATTAATGTCTCTTGGGAGAAGATCCCCTCTAGAAGTTACGGGGCATGTGACTGGTTCTGTCTCAGTCAGAGTGGGTAATAAGAGCTTTTCCTCCCCCTGCTGTGATAATCGCAGTGTTTGGGCTGGTTTGTTCATAAGAATTGTGTAGGACTAGTGATACCAGACACCTGCTATACTTCTCTGGAGAAATAAGCTGGAGTAGAATTTCTCTTCACTGTTAACTAGCAAAGGTGGGAATCTTCACAAACAGAGAAGTTGCCTCTCATCCGGAGAGACTGAAAATGTTAACTTAAAGGCAATTAAACCATTAGAAATCAAAAGTCACAATGCCTAAGTGATCACAGTGTCAAATGTTGCCTACTCTGTCTTGTTTCTTTTTGCCAGCATTGTCAATCATGAGCACTGGATATCTCAATAAATCTCAAAAATCATGTGACTTTAAAAATAGAATATGATTATTAATGTCTTATTTTTAGGGTGATTGCTGAACCTTTACAGATTAGATTTTCAAGGTTTTCTTTGCAATTACAAGTTCTGGCATATACTTTTTAAATATACGATTCTACTTCCATCTGATTTCAGAAATTGCAGCTTTAAGAACATCAAATTGTGTTATATTTGTGATAGAATTGAAGGACTGGTGACACCACTGTTGCTTTAGAGTTATCATACAGAGGAAACTTAAAGAAACTTGTTGGAGTTAATCATGCTTTAGTGCTTTACAGCTCTTAATGGAAAATAGGGGCTGGATTTGTGCTCTGCCTCTGGCAGTGGCTGATTCAAAATATTTTGGCCAAAATGAAAGTTCTTCTTAACAAGTTCTTATTCTTTTGTTGAGGTAACCACAAGAGATTTTCCCATTGACCTGTCTAACAGGAGACTGATGCCTGTTCTGTCCTTTGCAAAGCACAACGCCCTACATTAATAAGTATCAACAGCTATTATGCACTAACTCTGAAACTGCACATTATTAAAAAAGCACGGCATGCACCTTGTGCTGTACATTCAGGTAGCAGTGATTCTGGGTATACCCTGGCATCAGTGAAGTTAGAGCTCTAAAAGTAAAGAATCCCAGATTTAGTACAATTACCTCCAGCCGTGTATATTTATATGTGCACACTTTTCAAACAATCGTAACTTCAGCTTTTGACAACTTCTTTTTTTTTTCCAAACGTAATTGTGGACCCAAAGTGCTCCTGAGACATCTTCCTCTACCCACACACAGGTGTCCTGAATCTAAATTCTCCCTGCCTCTGCTTCCCAGGCTCTCTTCCTCCTTCTCAGACAGAGATTCATTGCACCTTACCACCCCATCCTAGGCCTCCCCTTATTCCTTATTTCTCAATTTTAAATCAGAACTTTCCCAAATCTGAAATATTTTCCTGATGTTTTTCTAGTGGGGCAGGACTTACACTGGGCTCTGTGACCTTGGCTTTCTGAAAATGTCTGGTTATGTTCTAATTCAAGGGGAAAGGATGGAGGAGGGTGAGTGAAAAGAAATAGGCATATATTCTTTACAATACCGTGTCTTCTTTTTTCCTAGAGCTCTACTGTCACTGACTGGAAGAACTAGAAAGAGTAAGCTCTGAACCAGGTGCCATTTGCTTTCATTTTCACTGAGATTTCCCTAACAACAAATACCATCAAATTTTGCCACTTATACTTCCTCAAAAATATCAGGGAAAAAACCCAAGATCAGAAGAGATTTATACTGCCTAACTGCCCAAGAGAGATGCTACAAGCTTTTTTCAGAGTCTTAAAGATGATGGGGAAAGAAAATGAGCAATGAAACAAATCTCAGAATTAAACATGTTTCACCTCTATTCTTTCCTCATACAAAGTCTCTTGAGAAAATTCTGTGGCTGAAGGTTGCCAAACTAGTTACTGATTTCTCTGCAAGATCACTCAACATCTCTCATATTTATAACTTTATAAAATATAATCTCTTTTTCCTCTATTTATTTTTCCACTGAGGCATCTCAATTTCTCTAGTGTACAAAAGTTACTCACATTTTCCTCTGCCAAGCTGGTCTTAGCTTTTGTCTGTCAATTATAATCCTTACCTGTTTTCTTTGTAGGCTCTGGCATCTTCACTTTGTTTCTGATGAAGCTCCCAGTTGTATCTAGAAAGCAGGGTCTGAGCTAAACAGGAATGAGACTGCAGGACTTTTGAGACCCCGTAAAGAAATACTCAGTGGAATCCCCCATCCTACTCCTCCCCTTGATCCCCCACTCTTGTCAAGTACGGCACCTTATCAGCAGCAGGACACACTTGACAGGCGACATCAGCCGGGATAAATATAGCCAAGTTCCAGGAGCCAGAGAGCTCAAACCACCCAAGACTGGCTACCACTGATCTCCTGGTACAAACCAGAGCACAATCTGGTGTTGCACGTAATACAGTACATCTTCCAGCTTCATGTATGAATTGCATTAAGAATTCTTACACTGCCATTTTTATAGCACATTCAGCAGTCTAGATCAGATAGTTACATCTCCTGTATGCTGGTTCTGTACTTACTCTAAGTATGTATCGGTTTGCATTCTTGCTACCTCTTTCAGTCTTTGTTATTGCTATAACTGGGTCAGAACAGAACCTTTTTTTTTTTTTTTAACTCTTCTACCAAAGACTGTGTTTGTAGAACTAAATGTGAATGTTCAGGAAATAACTTTCTTTTTCAGAGACACACATTACTGACATTTGCAGTCACAGCTAGAAAGCATGGCACTACTTAAGTAGTTTCCGTCCTTCCTCCCCATTCATGCACTTGATCCGCAGCATGTATTTCTTGAAAACTAACAAGCCTTTTTTTTTTCTTTTAAGTACTATTTAAAAAAATATTTCCAAGGTTCTATTTTATACCTCTAGAAGTTTTAATTTTCCTTAATTATATAGAAAAGATCTGGGGGAAATGTCACTAGAAAATTACTCTGTTATTGCCATTTGATGCTCCAGTCATTGCTTCATATTTATTAATGCATTTAGCATATGTCAAAATAGTAACTGTGGACAATCATCCCTTTATTGCCTTGGTTGTATGCCCATTTCCTGTCACTTTTGTCTGTCTCATTTTGAGTTTTGAGGTTTATCAGAGAAACTCTGTAGGCCAAGCATTTAGCACATTTTAGCTACTACTAGTATAAAAAAATAATTTTTTAAAAGTTATTTTTGTTTTTTCCAGTTTTACTAGCCTGCAAAAACCTCAGTCTAAAGGATTTCTGCTTTTGTCAGGGAGCTCAGAATAGACAAGTGTGCAGGCAGCCCACCAGTCACCGTGCTTTGTGTCTGTCTTTCACATCTGACTCTCTCTGGGTAGACGGACAGGACAAATGCCAACATGCAAGAATGACTGCTACTGCCTCCCCTGATTTTGGGCCAAATACTTCCTCCCCTTCCTCCGAAGGAATTTTTTACATATGAGTGAGGAAGATGGGCAGGATGTGACCTATGTATATTTTCCGTTGGCTCTGTTTTTAGTGGAGCACAAGTTAGCTTGAGATGGTTTTGACCTACTGTCCTGTGCCTGAGGCATTTCATTGGGAGGCAGGAAATCTTGGCTATTTGCTTTGGCTTGAGCTCTTTCAAAGGGCTTGAATCCCACAGCATGAAAAATCTGTCACTTGACTAGTGAAGATCATTGTGCCTTTCTTAAATGTTTCTCCTTGTCAGAGAGCTGCTATTAACTCCCTCTTCTCTCCAGAAGATGATCCCCAACACACTGTTGGAACCACATCCAGATCCCTTCTGGGAAGAGAGTTATCTCCCTGCAACCTTAGACAATAAAGGCCACAGGAGGCAGGACTACCACAAATTGATATGGAGAAAGAAAAAAATCTATGCAGATTATCCAAAGGTGGACTGTGATTGGAGCCATGCTTCTTCTCAACTTAATTGCCTCTCTAGTATGTGTCCTTGAAATAATGTTTACAAAGAAAACTAGCTGACTAGAAGTCACTTCTACAGTATTTGAAACACGAACCTCTTGTAATTGCCATCAGAATATGCTAATCTTCCCCAGGAATAATTTTGCCTAGAGAATGTAGTTTTGCTACTTCATCCTTTCTCCCTCACCAGTCAGCAAATAATTATTTTTACTGGAAGCCTATATGCTCTGTTCTGAGGTTCTTGACTTGATAAAATACATAGTATGCCAACATGTTCTATTAGACGTGGATTAAAAAGATTGTTCAGTTCTGAAGATTTTTTACAGTTAGCACCATAGGTCTTTCTTACCATGAATTAAAATAGTGTAAGTGGAAACAAGCTCATTTGTATGGGTTTAAAGGAAATAGATACTTATATGCAAGCTCTTCAAAATGCAAGCATGTAGCATTTATCATATACTCCAAGCCTGTATTTGTTCTCTGTGAGTGTCCAGTAGGAGGTGCTTCAAAGCAAGAACCGAGAACCTTGGAATAATTAAATATGCAATAATTCATATCTAACACAGAACTCATTCTGAATGCTACCAGATATTGGCTTAAGTACATCTTAAATATTTCTTCTAAGTTCTTGGAACTCTCAATATTATTCATTCACCTAAATGCTCATTTCTCTCTAAAATGACCTTAACTCCTTGGAGTCAATACTTTCCAGTAGTGATGATACCATGGCTGAAATACACATTGTAAAAATAGGAATTCTATTATTGATTCTGAATTTTCCAACTTCTAGTTTGAATATCCTCTTGTTCTGGGAGAACAGAAATTGCCATTCAGTGCCTGAATGTTGGTTGTTTTGGTATACGTTTGTCACAGCACCTCCAATTTTTTAGGACAAAAAGTACAACTGTGTAAATCTATATTAAAAGACTTTTAAACATGACGTTACATATGGAAACATTTGCGTTTACTTGCCACTTTCTTATGGTCAGGTATTTGTCTGTAAAATTGTCAGGCATGTGTCCGACAATGGCATGTCTGTAAGAGGTCACTTCCATCACTTTGAGAGCAATGCAAGGGTCCTGCTTCCTCCATGGCAAAAGAGGAGTTCATCCTGCCATCGCATGGCTTGCAGAATAATTGTGTTTGTATGTTTCTCTGGAAATATATAGGATGACCTAAACCATGTTGCCACTCAAAGGAGATACAGTCATTCATTAGATTGTGTTCTAAGGGTGTATTGTTTGGGGATAGAATTACAGTTAACGGTCTATGAGCCAGTATTTTCTAGGGAATTTGAAAGAAGTTTATGCTAATCTGAAAAATCTAATATGCTAGGATAATAGGTTCCTGAAAATATTTAAGATGAAGATGCATTAGCACTATGGATTAGAAAGGAAAGCTAGATAATATACTCTGCATATAATATACTCTGCATTTCTTTGTTAATGTAGGAAGTACAGCGTGCAGGCTTGCTGGGATTGTGTAAATAACTTTATTCTGTTTTGTGCTCTCTAGTGCTTATCACAGATACTTAGAAACTATTTTAGACTTGAAGAGTTATGGACTCTTGTAAGTGCCTGGGAACCTTTTCCCAATGCATTTCATGTTTCCCAACCTTTATATGTGGGTTTTTTTCCTCTGTTTAAATACATATTCCTTATTTAATGTGGTTGTAGCATTTTACTTTTCAATAAATGGATCTTCTACTGATGACAATATCTGACATCTTTTGTTCTTTGGATCTCTTTTCCCAGGATTTAATTTTGTCTTTTTCTTATCTTTCTCACTGTAGATTTCATTCTTTCTGCAGACATTTAGTGGTATAGTTTTGATTCTGCGAGCTACTGGGGGACATGAATAACTTTAAACATGGATTTAATTCTGACTGTGTGTGCGCTCAAAATCAGGCATGTAACTGTGGTGGGTCAGTCCTGTTGCTGGTTATTCTCCATAGATACTTTCCAGGATTCAGAACCAAGTTTAATCTGAGGAGGGTATGACTTACGTCTTCCCCACAGTGAAACACAGCCACGAGAATGATTTGATCTGATGCAGGGAAATGATCCTGTTCCAGTTATAACTTTGCAGCTTTTGTGATTTTAAATGCTATTTAAAATAGTGTCTGCGTGTTCAAGGCAGGGCAAAATTAATGTTTTCTCTGCTATTACATTTCTGGTTACCAGGTGGCAGCATTGTTGTAATAGTAAACTTTTTTCTAGTATCTTCTACATTATATTTATTTATGTATTTATTTATGTAGCCACTTTTAATAACAAAACTGTGATGCAAATGAAATATATGATAGCGGTGGCTACACTGGCCCAAAATAGATGTGTAGTGGATTGTGATAACTACTTAACAGTGCACCGCAAAGCTAGACAATTTTTTAGAAAGTGTGTGAAGTTTCATCTGATATTCAGATGAGACTGATGTACAAGGATACTGAAGCAACACGTAATAAAAGTCTCTGAGGCTTTGCTAGAAAAGCGAATGAGAGGGAAAATGTTGTCCTTCCTTGTCAGAGGTATTATCTTGCAAGTCTGAAATTATTGTTCTGTGCCTCAGACAGTGGCTTTCATCATGTAGTTCAAAGTTAAGTTCAAAAATGACAGCAATAGGAGACCTGCAGTGTGGACCATGTGATGTATCTTCCTGATTTTGGATAGTTGCAGCAGGGCTTACGCAGAGAAATCCAAGGATTTATTATTTATAGACAAAGTCAGCAACACCTCCTTTAATAAGGCTATCCAGCTTCCTGTTAAAAGGCCATGGTTTTAGATGGTTACAGCTTTGCCCAGGTGTAGCTGTTGGGGTGCAAAATCTATATATTACTTTTCTACCTTGGGCTTTTTGTTTGTTTGTTTGCTTTTAGTTTCTGTCACACCATTTGATTTCTTGTCTCTGTTTATTTGGCTTTCTGCCTCTTGGTTTTGTGACAATGTCGCCTCCTCCGTGACCCAGCAGTGCCTGAGGACAAGGCAGTATCGCTAACTGTGGGTTCCAGGGACCCTGGTGGGAAGGGTGGGATAGCTGAGCCGCTCAGTGCAGAGCACGGGTCCAGTGGGAGTCATTCACTGAAGCGCAGCACCCGTGAAACCAGGCTGACTGTTTCCTTTGTGCTTTTGAAACACAGAGCTCTGAGGTGTGTGGTGCAAAGGCACTTGGCCTCACTGACAGAACTGGAGTTTACAAGAACTTATGAGATCTGGGTAACCCTGATCCTGCTTATCTGAGCTTCCCTCTACACAACCATTTTGTATCCCTACACT